CACCTCTCTGTACCCGAAATGTCTACATGTTTCATTGCTTACACATTGATTATCTTCTCTACGACTGCACCGAATCCAATCGTCCCGCGTACTGTATTTACCGTGTGATACATCGTACTCTTCCTCATCTTTTACTTCCCAGGTTACAAAATTCTCGAATCAATGATGGAAAGTGAAGGACTTACGGAAGAGCAAGTATGCTTTGTTGATTTTTCTTTCGACCCCCCACCATCTGCATAACCCGTGCTGTCAACCCCTGCTAGGAATTAATAACATCCTGACATGTCCACTACACTTTTTCTCAGTATTTCGCCGTTCTCATTATGACTGGTAGCTTCGTCATCAGTAGTTGACGACAGCGATGCGTTAACACCTTGCAATATGGGCCAAGTCAAAAGTAGCTGGGATCGGAGCACAGAGGCTCTGTGTTCCCAGTTGCCAAGCTTCATATCGCAAGGACGGTAGTAATTAATTACATTGAAGGAAATGAGGAAGGAACTGTAACGGAATTAGGCTTTTTCTGTGGAACAATTGGTGGCTAGAGGCAGAAGGCCGAATAAAACCACATCAATGATTTGGCAACTATGTGAAATTGAATATGCCCCCAACTCTGAATTGACTGCTCTACTGAACCCCACCTGGTAGGACATCATCATCATAAATACAGGTTAGCTGAGGGTGCTAAACACATCTCAGCTAATGTGCCACAATACAAGAAGATAAGGTACTAAGAGCTACAGACTAAAAAAATTTCAGTATGCAAGTACTACGATGTCAACTATCTTTAGGCATTTGGAATGAGATTGAAATTGTGGGAAACTAAAGGGAAGGGTATGGACAAAGAAATTCACAACACAAACACCATTGGGGCCGGTTTTTCTCCATATCATCAAGTGTCTGACCAAACATGTTCATCGTCCTTGGGATCCCAGCCTGGCAGTCGAGATACACCAACTGACGCCAACTTCGAAGTGAGGGTTTTAATTCCTCTCGATCAAGTCATCGCTTGGCCACCCCTTCTTATCTTCCGTCCACACCCACGGCGCGCAAACAACGCACGCCGCGGGAGTCCGTATGCTGACATGCGCAACATGTGGCCCAGCCGTCGGAGTCTGGTGTGTGATATAATGGTGCTGATCGGTTAACTCGCTCCTCCTGCACTAAATATGCAACGCCGAAGGCGCCCATTGCTCACACGGTGCTCCCACCAGACATGAGCTAAGCTGCGAAGGCGGCGATGATTGAGCGTTACTAGCCGCTTTAATGTCTGTCGAAGGTTTCACAACCGTATAAGAGGTTGGAACGAACGACTGCATTAAAACTGCCCTTCACGAGGTGCTTTTGCCAAACTCCGCCACCTGTGGCACCTCGAATTTTTGTTATGTGGTTCTTGACCTCATCTTCGAACCCTCGTACGCTAATATAGTTTCCAGGGCATTTTAATTCTGGCACAGTATCTAGCTGATCATCACCAATGTTGAACGCAGGAGGCGTCTCTGCCAATCTTGCAAAAAAATTTGAGGGAGTGCAACAAAGCCCAAAGCGTTTGACATCGAGTACTAAGCAGTGCTGTCTGGCACGTTGGGGAACTGTCACCGATGAGGCCAATCTCGTCGACGTACTCCAAGTCAAGAGGTCGCTCACCAGAAAACAGCTCCTTCCCTTGTATGTCATGTCCAGCGAACGCTGTTTTCTTTTCTTCCATGGCGAACTCCACATAGTAAGGTGTCAGCGGGGACCTTTTCTCACACTGCTGAAAATATTGTAGGTCGGCGACAGCTTACCGTAAACCCTTACTCTACCCGAACTATGTGCGTACAGCTCCCGGATAATATTTACTTATTTCTCGGGCACATCTTTCCTCAACAGAGAGTCCCAAAGAGCACATCAATCCCCGGAATCGAAGGCACCTTTGCTGTCGAGAAACAGCCACAGTGGGTCGCCAATAAACGTGTCGGTACTCCATCAACTGACGCAAAATAAATATGTGATTGATGCAGCCTAGATTTCGACGAAACCGGGATTGCTCCTCCAGAATTTGACTTTCACAAGTGCCAGTCAGTCTGTGAAGAACGATAGATGCAAACAATTTAGTGGCAATTGTGATCTGACTGATTCCTCTATGATTGTTACATTTCGAACGTAAGCCTCCTTTTAGAATTGGGACTATGACAGAGCGATTCCACTCTGTTGGGTCAGTCTCTTGCTCCCACAGCTTCACTCTTAAACGGTGCAAATCATCTACAAAAACAGGTCCCTCGAATTTGAAGATGGCTGGGGAAATTTTATCTACCTCTCCGGCATTAGTAAATTTCAAGTCTGATCACACGTTCGACTTTTGCGCGTGAAGGCGAATCCAAGGAGAGAGGCGAATCCAGGGAGAAGAGCTGTCAATGCCCGAGAAAGGAAGAGATAACTCAGGTTGGTTAAAATGGTTGGGGTCCGAAAGACAATGAACACGTTTGGCTGGATACACTTGTTGATATGGCTAGGAGCCGTCCTCATTGGCGTTCGTGCTGTGAGTTTCTTTGTCCAACGCCATTTCTACTAGCCTCCTCCTCCAATCACGATCTCATTATTTAACTCAGTTGTTGTGGAGTTCTCCGAGCTGGGCAACTTGGTTGCAGACTGTTGCAAACTGTAAACAGTTTACCATGGAATCAGAGAAGGAAAACAAACTTCCTTTCTTGGATGTGTTAGTAGCCAGAACAGTGGACGGCGAATTGCAAACCTCAGTTTACAGAAAAAGCACGCACACCGATCAGATTTTGAATTTCCACAGCAACCACCCAAGATATCACAAAATAAGCTGTGTGCAGACACTGTTCCAGAGAATAGCAACTCACTGCAGTACGGCAGAAGCGAAACGAGCAGAAGAAAAACACTTATTCAAGTCATTTGAACGCAACGGATACCCACGCAGTTTCCTCCGCAGATGCTTAAACCGCAAGCCCTCCAAAACCGAACCTACGTCAGCGATGACAAAACGTATAGTTCTGCCATACATAAAGAACGTGTCAGAAATGACTGCCAGATTGTTCAAACAACATCATATCATGGTAGCCCACAAGCCAACCGCCACTCTGAGGAAGACATTGTCAAAACCAAAAGGAAAACGAGAGACACTAGAATGACGGGATGTCGTATATAGAATAAACTGCGCAAACTGTGAAAAGCACTATGTGGGACAAACAGGAAGAAAGCTGTCCACCAGGATACATGAACACCAAAGAGCGTGCAAGAAGCACTACGCAACCTCATTGGTTTCAGCACATGTGGATGAAGAGGGACACAGGTTCGACTGGAACAAGGTAGAGATCTTGACCGGAGGAGAAACACAAAAAGGGAGGGAGTTTCTCGAAGCCTGGTTCTCAACCACGAACTCAATCAACATGCATATCGACCTCGATCCAATATATCAACCGCTGAGACAGCGAGATTTCAAGAGGATCAACAACCGTTGTCCGAATGAACCTAATGCAACACACGCACAATGAACAGCATGGGCAATATGAGCCCAGACTACTCACCCATATCTCCTGCACCAATCCGAGTGCGATAAGCCCAACCACATCGCAACAACATTTCCGCAGCCAATGACATTGACTCGAGCACAACCGCTGAACACAAGGATTCACCAATGAGATCGAGGCAAAATTAATAGCCTCATATACCTATATAAGGAACGGAGTAGTTACCGACAGTATCCATTATTGGGTTTGCTTTCTACCAGCTACTGCTACTTCACTGCTATCAATCCCGCACTGAAGATGCCACCTCGAATGGTGGCGAAACGTCTGCAACCAAGTTGCCCAGCTCGGAGAACTCCACAATAACTGAGCAAGCCTCCCGAGCTACCAATATTCCAATTCATTATTTAACATTTTATAATTTTGCATAGTAAATATTTTTTCTGCGGCATAGTAGCTGGCAGGTAGCTTACCGGAACGATGCCCATCCGTTACCGGTAGATCAGCTGGCTTGCACCTGTTGCTTCTTATTCCCTTTTTTAGGTATTGCGGCCCAGTAGCTGAGGTGTTTTCCACCTTTAGCTAACGTGTAGTGTGTGTGTGTGTGATTAAATTGCTTTGCAAAGTGTTCGGCCCAACGCTCCAAGCGTTTTGTCAAGCTGTGGATCGGCTGTCCACTAGTCGCGTATGATCTCCCTAACACCAGGCTTCCGGTAGAACATTGTATGCGTACTGCACCAAGCCTCTGTCGATTTCGCTCCATTGCCCATCATGCGGTGTCACCTATACAGCTGCGGTCTTCATGATTAAACTGGGTAGAGGACATGGGCTGGAGTACATGCGATGAACGTGGCGCAGCGAGCCTAGGCGAGTCAGTTTCCACGGAATGTTCATTGTAACGCTATTTGCAGCTGACCATCCATGAATCGTGCGCCAATGCATACACACAGCGGCATACTCGGAATTGTAATACCTATCACACTTCGACCTACAGTTTTGGTCGAAATCTCATCGTCTACAGCTTATAGCAGTTTCGTCTGTTTGAAGCACTGGGTTGATCAATATGTACGATTGTGTTGAAGAGCTGTGCTCCTGAGGTTGATTTCGACGCGCAGCTGAAGGTAGCGGTCACCTGTTTCAGATCACCCTGTAGTGAACCGATGCAGGCGTTCTAAATCCGATGACCTAACTGTTTAACTATTATTGTCACTGCCACTAGTCACACTAATCACAATTTCCCTCATTTGAATCACTGAAGCTAGCCATCCGTACAGTCGATGATTGAAGACAGTGTCACAGCAGGTTTGGAATGTTAACCAATGCAATAACCGTTGCTCTCTTTTGACCCTCTATCTTGCCGCGAAGTCTAGCTGCACCCAACCCGCTATTCTCAGAAACACATTCCACATGCATATCGTCCTTGCGTCTACTGAGAGCCACTCCGACACCGCAGCTGCACTAGCCATGGATTTAGTATCATCGGCGACACTGCGTAAGCTCTGGTTGCGGAACCACAGCTCGGTGGTCATAGTTGCTTGTTTCACAAATGTAAATTCATTGCAAGGGTCACCTGTTGACCAGTTTGGGACAATATATATGGAATCTGTAGCATTCAACGTGGAATGGTTTGAAACATGGTCTGGTTTCGTTGTTGGTGAGGTTGATGATATCTAAGCTGATCGCTTATTGGTCAACATGAGAAAAGTTACTTTAGGGGTACGCGAAACGAGAGAAGGGATGGATGGCGACGGGGTCTTGCAATCCACATCCGCCTATTTTAAGAGGGATTCTCTAACCTCTCACCCATCAGTGTGACTTAGTCGCCACACTACACTGTTGTTTGTCTTACTTTTGATAGATGAAATGATATCTTACCTTAATGGGGTGTGCACTCAGCCCTTCGATGAACTCAGCTCCTGCCTAAATGAATAGACCGAGTTATCACTTTTAATGTGTTTTTGGCAATCACGGGACGGTGACGTGCCCGCCCCATTCCGCAAAAGTAGCTTTCACATGAAAGGTGCGAATCAGCCAATAAACTATGCAACACTATACATCAGATTATTCCCGAATCCACTACAGTACCGTGCTTTCTATATTTTGCGCATGCTCTGTGTGTTTCCACCATCCACCAAAGTAAACGCCATTTGAAGCCACAATGTCTCCTCGCTCCTAATTTCTGTCTAACCAGGTGGCGCGATTTGCGAGTGACCAGGCCGCTTTGATCTCATTGCAATTTGTTGCGACCGAACGAGCTGGTCATTCGTGTAACAATGCTCTGTGTACCCTCTTTCTGAAACTAGATACTCGCTAATTTTTTTAACATTCGAAAATCCCGCTGTTTTTTTAAATCTAGAAACAAGCCAAACGCACGCTACATGCATTGAAAGAAAGTGAATTCTTGAGGCTGAAGCGCGCCCGCCTCACTGTGGACGATTTCATCCCCCTTAAGATTATCGGCAAGGGGGCTTTCGGCGAGGTAAGTGTGAGCAATGTGGCATTCGAAGTTGGTGCTATCCGCACGACATAACTGAATTCACGGACACAATTGCACTTGTTAGTGCATCCCCAGACTTCTGCCTGACCGTCATGGTTATTATCTCTATAATTTATGATTCAAACGCTGCTAGATCCGTTCAGTGATTCACTTTCGTCTTTGAACTTTGCGAGTGAGATTTAAGATGAAAGAAACCTTGCTTTCTTGGACATATTACTAAGCAGACTTCTCATACCATCGAAACATTTTTCGAAAAACCACTTGGATTAGCCATTAGACGCGCCAATAAAGTTTGTGGCCCAGAAACGTTGGAAAACGAAAAGAACCGAATCTTCAGGACACTACAAGATGACGATTACCCCGCTCCTTTCATTAAGAGACGCTCTTATGATCCGTGACTAAGGAGAAACGATCATGACCTTCCACGCAAAACTTCCTTCACAAATGCCAAATAACAAGAAAGCAAATTTCGACGAAATAATCTGAATTCAGCTATTTCATGTGTTCTCGTCAGCCGTTTACAAACAGTTCGTGGGAGGATTAGGTTGCTTACAGAGACTATGCACAACATCATTGATGAATTAATGTCGGTCAAAGTTCATCTGATGCTGGTTGGCATTCCGCTTAGAGGAATGTGGCCACTAGACTCACCAAGTCAAGGCGAGACTGTCTACGAACTCGGTCTGTTTACAGAGAATAGAGAGAGAGAGAGAGAGTACAACTGCTTAATCGCTGAAGACAGCAAACCGAAGCAGGCGGGAGGTGCTCTGTCGGTTGTTTATTCTAAATAACTCACGCGGGTTTTCACACATGGAACAATCAAACTATGTGTCGGGTGATGGAACTAGTGGGCACGTTCGAACCATTCGCGACGAGGTTGCTTGAAATATGCCCCAAAATTGTTATTTGGTCTTGGAGTGCCCGCTGTCTGTCTGGATTGGGACACGCAGTCTCGATTGAGGCTAAAGTTTACTTTGAAACAAACCTGCGTCATTTCGATAACTGGAACTGCATCCGAAGCGGAGTGTTTCCTAGCTGCTCTGTCCCCACGCTGCACTCCACGACCGACCGGTTTCGTCCTCCTTTGGATTCGTTAGATAGGGATTGCTTGAGCTTTGTGGCTTTCGTTTTGGTCAATAGGCCAAAACTCCACAGCAGCGTTTGACACAGTGGTTAGAAGTTGAATGTTGGGTTTCGGAGTTCAGCACTACGCCGGTACACAGTACAGACGCTTGGCTGCCACGCAACGACCACCAGTCGCTCTTGGGCTGATGATGCTGCGAGGGTCACCCGGTCCCCTACGCAGGCTCGTATCCGCGTCCTCGGATTTCAAATTCGGCTTGTGATTCTTAAGGCTACGGGTCGGCTTTTCATTGTAATACGAGACACGCTTGCATAGGCATGACCAGGGTGATATAATCATGTACAGCACTATGTTCAAAAGCTGATTATAAAGATCGGAAGCCGTTCACTTATGGTCATCTGAGAGAACACGTGTGACACAAGGAATTAGACTGGGATGTTTTGTTCTGATTAAGCGGAACACGCGTCAATGTTACTTGATCAAGTGTTTTGGAAATTGAGCTCATCGTCGTATCCATTACAAGCAGATAACTATTTCTAAACCTGTTGCAATACAAAATATGTTTTGCGATGTTTGTATCCACATAGATAGGTAGATAGATAAATCGATAGATAGGTCCGCGGCTGTCACCCATGGCGAAGTAGCACTAGCTGCTGGCTTCCTGAAGTCATGGGGGCGGAACCTGGCAGGGGTCCGCTGGGAGGCGCACCACTGACGAGACTCACAAGGTCGAAACGCTGGCGTCTGTTGCTTTTCCAGCCTAGGCTAAGCCTGTTGATTGGGAGTGGCGATGATGAATTGGCTGCATTATACCAACAATCCTCACTACTACTCGTTAGTGAAATTTACTTGTGAATTGCACTGGAAGTTGTGTATCATGACTCTGTGTCACGAAGATGTTTTGCAAAGTGACAGACTAGGTGTCGTTCCTCCCAACACTGACTCCACGCGACCGATGGTTTTTTCCCCCTTTGAACTCATCAAAGGGAGATAGTTTGAGCTGGGAGTGGAGCTAAGGGCCTGATGGTTAACGGCTGATGCCTTGATCACCATGCCACTGAGATCCGTGAACATCTCTTGGCACAACGGTTAAAGATACAAAGTTGGATTTGTTTTGCGGAGTGCATTGGCAGGATCGAACTATTTCTTTGCACCATGTAGGGTTGATGCGCGGACATTGTTAATAAACGGGATGCAATTAGATTTCCTTCGCTTCTTCAGAGATGTTAGAACACGCGATCGTGCAAGCATTCCTTTGCTAATCTCAGTCGTCCCAATCCCGCCAAATTACTCAGGCAACTGACCGCTTGTGAGGACGCTCCGGAGATAAAGAGCTGGAGTTCCGTACTGCGGTTATCCAGTTGAGAATTTTCTTGTTTTCGGTATTTGTAAGGAATACTTGCCAGGATTGTACGAAACGACTAAGTTTTAATTTTCCGGACCAGCGGTTGAAGATATAACCCACTGACGTGGTAGTATTCCATCTACATCAGTTCGATGCCAGATAATTGGATGAATTTGCTGATCTCCACAAAAAATCCCAATCCATTGATAACAGGACTGAAGTAACCTCCGTCTAAGCGCGAGTTATGCAGATTCCTGGCTTTGCGAACTGGTCACGAGGCTATTAAGATTGCAAAAACATCGGACGATAGTAGTTGAGCTCAATAGTGCTGCCGCGTGATCCGTATGTTAGTCTGTGACAGCAACCTTGAGGGCATGTTGTCGACTGTCAAAACAAAACTTTGTTTATCTTTAAGCACTGTTGTCGTGATAAATCATCCACATAACTTGCGCTCTTCATGCGTCAAGGTTCAGAATCCTCGGCGTGGTAGACTCGTCAAACCTTGTTGCACTTTGTATATGGGTGCCTCTTAAAGATTGCCTTGATTTGAAGTTTTAACTGGATGCATACATTCAAGATCGTCGCTTTTAAGCACACCTTGCACATTCCGTTTTTACACCCGGCTCTGGTGCTCTTCCTTTGCTTCGCGTGAATTTCCTTGTGCCATATTTTCTACCTAGCTGTGGTCCCCCGGCGTACCTTTCTCTATCTGACGTTGTCCATCCGAGCCAAGCTTCTAAAGACAAAATCTACGCACAGCACGTTGTGTTTCCTAGTGGTCTCCTTCATTTTAATGTCTGCTAGTGGGTCGAGCTACCCTACGCGGTAGGCAGCCGCATTCTGCACACCATTTATGCCCATTGGTTATCTCATTTGCATTTCTCCTACTAAGTGCCCTATTTGTTTGAACTTTGGCCACCTTTTCTGCCAGGTGGACGCTGTTCCGCCTCACCTTAGACACTACCCGTGTACCATCATATACCTAGAAACCATGTGAGCCTATTTGTTTCTCTCTATCCCTTGCTCTTCCGCTTTGAGAAGTCCTTGAACTTGACCCGACCGAGCTTTGAACTCCGCAAATCTACTTCTAGAATGACGATTCTGCATTCATTTCCTTGCTTAAGTGTGTCGTTGTTAGGGTGAAATGTGCTGCGTTGTTTCCATCGTTTCACGCATCCCACGCATTTTGTCGATCGCATTGTGCCTTAACAAGTGTTGCGCTCTTCATCTAACCCAGGCTGTTTGTTCTCATATTTGTGCACGACCTCTGTAGCGATTGTTCGGAGCCTAGACTTAGTATTCGCACGATACTGGATAAGAAAACTATAGGCTACTGAACCTATATTATACAGACAGTCTGGGTGGAGAACAGAAAACGTAAATTAGTGTTATCATGTTTTATATAATTCAGATTAAAAACAGTAATCAACTCACGAATAAGTTTGTAATCGTAATGAGAAAGAACTGAAACTTGAAGACTCGGTACAGCGTAGTACTTTGCTAATCGGAGTCTGTCAAGGGTGAAATATTTGACCTAGCAGAGTCAAAGGTATGCCAATGGTGCGAACGGAAAATGTACATTGGTTCATAATGCAGTTGTTCGAAACAAACATCTGTTGCTTTCTATGAGGAAATTAGGGAAAGGTGTGGGAATATTACGTCCTCGAATAGGCACTCCAGTTTGGCTGAATATTGAATACTTTACCTATTCCTCCTTGATCCACTAAACGAACTCGGAGCGTCTTAGTTGCTTGCCAGTCTCATTGAGGAGCTCGATGGTTGATGTGTATACCAGTGTGCTAACCTTTGAATGGCACTGTGCATGTATACCAGTTGAATAACTGTGGTCGCTTGTTGTTATCTGTTTTGCATTGTATGACTATTTTGTGTGTTAACTTAATCGCCTCTATCATTCGGTGAAATATGGTAGGTCCTCCTTCGTAATCGAATCATCGTTTGCTGTTGAACTTGCCTACGGTAATCCACTGTCCTGATTTTATGCAGGTTTTCACCACAATATCCTTCCCACTTTCGGTAGGGCTATCCTCATTATGACCCCCAGAGAACACTGTGACATTTATCTTTACATCCGGCGTTGAGTTTCCATCATGTGTGAGCTCACGCTTCCTTACCTCTCATTCTACTTGCTCAGTGATCCGAGGTGCCTCCAGTGATTTTGCAGTATGTTTACCCTTACTTTGTCTATCGCATTTCTTTCTACGCTCCAACGAATCGTTTCGTTTTTCTATCTTCATTTCGTATCAGGTTCGCTTGGTTCAAAAGCAAGACAATGGTTACATATATGCCATGAAAATTCTTCACAAAGTTGATATGCTGCAAAAAGATCAGGTAGGTGTTCTTTATTTCCTTGACTTCTTTTTTATTTCCGGTTCGCTTCATTTGTGGTTCTTGCCTCAAGTGACTTCCTTTGTGCGCTTCTCTTTTATCAAGCCTATTTTGAAATTAATGCCGGTCTCTCTCCATCTATATCTATCTATCTATCTATCTATCTATCTATCTATCTATCTATCTATCTATCTATCTATATATATATATATATATATATATATATATATATATATATATATATATATATATATATATATATATATATTCAAAACTTGCACGACAGTGGAGGATGAGCCGCATCATCATCATCATTATACACATCAGCTAGAGGTGGGAAAACATCCCCGCTATTGTGCCGCAATACATGAAAGGATGAGCCGCGCTATATCGCAGTTAGATATCAGTCATGGCGGTCCGCTGCCGTCGCTCATGCCTCCGTGACATAAGTCACTGACTCGCAAGAGTAAAATCGTGCGTTCGAATCCGGTACGATTCGGCGGTTGCGCACTACTGACGAGTCTCAATACGACGACACGTTCGTCTAGCGCTTTCCTGGATGTGTGGTGGCTGTCTGCCTGTGTCTGACTGCGACGAACCTACACACAAACCTAATAAATCCCCCTACTACTTACAAGTTATAAATATATATATATATATATATATATATATATATATATATATATATCCTCCATGCTGAGGCTGATGTCGCATTCTTAATGCCTCTTCACTGCATTTGGGCTAAACTAAGTTACACTTAAACTAGGTATTTTTAAGCTGGCTAAATTTCATTCCACTTTATTTGGTTTATTCTGCCTACCTGAATAATCTTCTATTAACGGGCCACATTACCTACGCGGATTGTGCTTATCTTCGGTAACTTGGTTGCGTTTTGTAGCATTTTTAAGTAACTTGTGGACATTTTTACGTATCGCGGATTCGTTGCTAACCAACTTACTTCATATGGTAATTTAGCGAAGAGTTATGCCACCGTATCTGTATGCATTATTCGATTTATTTTCTTTCATCTTGTCGTTTCAAGTGATTGGCTGTTGCTTGATATCCCCGGTGTGGCTGCACTTGATGTGCATGTTTACAAGGTGCCTACCTATCTATTACCCACTACCTCGTCCCTACTGGCTCTAGGAGACAGTTGGTCATTGCTGGAGGGGACAGGGTGTACGGTCCTTGTGGTCGTGTTAGGCTCAAAGAGCGGTTCCATGCACTCAATGTGGAGCGGACTACGGTCCAGCCACCGCCTTGTGTGCGCTTGATTTCCCAAATACAGCGTGCTTGTGTTTGCCTGTGAAGGAGTGTGGGCCGGTTCCGTTGATGTAACCTGTCTCCCATCCACATGTCTCCCGGTCTAATGCCTTCGCGTTTACACTGGATATGGGGTGTGTTTGGAGCTGTGGGTGGTGCAGCGCAAGCCACCCATGATCCTTCTGTAGGCGCAGGCGTCCTGTGGCTAGCCACAGTGACAGGCAAATCCGAAACCGGATGCCGGATTTTTGGCATGCCATACTGATTCGTTCTCTAGGTTGAAATATCGTTTAAATTGGTTGAATGAACACTGGAAACACAAAATGGATAATGACGTCGAAGTGCTTAGATTGCTGCGAAGCGGTCATCACCTGATCAAACGCGGTGCATTGCGAGATCTGCGATGACTGGTTGTATACTGGCTGTTGCAATAGTGAAGCTTAGTTGCGTGCACCTTTCCAACAGACCTCCTCGGTAGTGTTTTCCATTTATGACGCGTGCTAAGCGGCCGAGTCGGATAAGAGCCTCCGGATTTGTTCAACCCGTATACGTGCAAATGTCAAATACGAACCCCCCTGTTGATGTGTTTAAAGTGCATCTAATTCTTCTAATAGAGTTCTAATGGGTCCTTAACACTGCAGCATGTCACAAAGGCACGTGATCTAGGTGTCATCCTGACTAGTGATTTGGAGTCCTCGGCCCGGTGCGGGCATGCAGCTAATAAAGCGCGATAGGAATTACTTCGTCTCAGTAGAGTTCTGTTGTACCAGGCCAGAGGTCTTTCTTTCCTTCTTCACGGCTGTGGTCAGACCACATCTAAAATACTGGCATGGGCACCCTACCTGCAGTAATATTTGTATTGAGAATGCGGACTGGCCACACGAATGATAGAAGGCCAGAGCCTATGGTGCGCTGAGGCTGGTGGTGGCTAGATCCTGACAAATGGTCTACCCATTGCTGCTACTGTTGTGCCATTTGCTCATGTCCTAGGCGCCTTCTCGTGGCGACCGTTGGGAGGGATTTGGGTTTCGCCCTTCTCCCTGCTAAGATCCAGGACACCAATCCGCATGAGTCAGTGAACTGACCATGTGCTAGACCCGCTGCCTTTCGGGTGTTCATTTAATCGAAGGCTTTGGCTGAGGACTCGAGTCGTTCTCCTGTCAGGTGTGGGCGCCCTGGCAGCATCCTAGTCCATCCTCTTCGGAGGTTAGGAAGTGGTCGATGGCCCACTTCCCGTAAAACCTAGCCATGGGAGACAACAGGTCTACGGGTTATAATCTCACAGCTCGATTGGCGTAGAGCACGAGCGCCACGCATTGTCTTCGACGGTGGGATGACACCTCCGGGTGTTCAATGGTTTGCTACTGCCCGCCTCAAGCCAGGCAGCCCCTGGTCAAATTGATGCAAACCCGCCAAAACCCACCTGCGTCTGGCCGTGGTCGCAGGTGCGTATCCTACTACGGTCGCAAAACATATAATACTTGTTCCAGTACCTCAAAGGCTGCGTGTGACGGCCGTCAAGCAGATCCCCATCTGTCTCTGCAATCACATTCCCGAGCTGGATCTGCTCCCTACTGCCTTGTGGGTTAGGCTATTGAGCCAAAGGCTCCGGGCGGAGTCCCTCAAGCAAACCTACGAAGCACAACGACCACCTCGCGTGCGATTGCCCACCAATGCAATCGTATGCCTGTGCGTAAAGCACTCAGCATCAGATGCTGGAACGTGCGCACACTACTGGACCGGAACTCCAGCGAGCGCCCGGAGCGACGCACCGCACTGGTCGCGATGGAGCTGGCGCGCTACAACATCGATATTGCGGCGCTCAATGAAACCCGGCTAGCTGAGCAAGGTAAGTTGCATGTCGCAGGTGCTGGCTGCATATTCTACTGGGTGAGCAAAGCCGCCTCAGCACCACGTGAACATGGGGTCGGATTTGCAATATCCGATCGCCTGAATGGCCAGCTGGTGGGTGAACCAACTGGCATCAGCGCGCGACTGATGACCGTTCGCCTACGACTCGGAAGGGGCAAGTTTATTACTTTTATAAGCACCATGTGTTATCCTGATGACACGCATGATCAGTTCTACACTGAGCTATCCTCCGTGATACGGTCTGTGCCGAGGAGTGACCGACTATTTCTGCTGGGTGATTTCAACGCGCGCGTTGGGCGTGATGCATCGGTGTGGACAGATGTTATCGGTTCGCATGGCATTGGTTCAGCGAATGCGAACAGTGACAGGCTGCTCTCACTGTGTGCCACTCAAAGCCTGACGATCACGAACACTCGGTTTGCACTGAGTGCGAATGATATAGCAACCTGGACGCACCCACGGAGTGGTCACCCTCACCTGCTCGACTATGTCATCGTACGTCAGCGTAATATGCGTGAAGTGCGCATGACACGTGTACTGCGTGGAGCTGAGTGTGGCACTGATCACAAATTGGTTCGGACCAAACTGTACATATATTTTCGTAAATCTATGTATTGCACTGCCGCCGTGAATCGGAAGCGTAAATTTAACGTTCTCTCCCTCGGTACTGGGGCGAAACGTACTGAGCTGGAGAAGGCGATGGCTGCACGCCTGTGTGGTGATGTGGACTGCATAGCCACAGTGGGCGACCTGTGGCACCACATTCGCGACCAGGTGACAGCTGCTGCCGAGAAGACCATCGGGCGCGCAAACTGTAAGCGGCCTGATTGGTTTGATGACAACAATGTGACGATTGGCGCATTGGTGTCAGAGAAGAATGCAGCATTTGCTGCACATGTGGCAGACCCCAGTGACTTGGGGAAGAGTAGTCAGTTTCGCAAACTTCGACGGCGACTGACCCGAGAGCTCCGTCGCATTAAAAATGCATGGTGGACGGAGAAGGCGAAGCAAATGGAATGCTACGCCGAACGCCGCCAACACAAGGAATTCTTTGACTCCTTGAACGCGGTGTATGGACCGAGATTGGAGCCTCTGAGGACACTGATCGATGGTAGTTCAGGCGCTACCTGCACGCAGACTACAGACATAATGCAGATCTGGCGGAAACACTTTGACTGTCTTTTGAACAACCGTTCAGGGATCGACTAGCCTACATTGAACGGCCTGAAGCAGCACGATGTGAAGGCGAATCTGGCGGACACGCCGACACTGGATGAGACGCAGAGAGCACTTGCTCAGCTGCGAAACGGCAAATGTGCCGGAGCCGACGGGATCCCGCCTGGAGTATTGAAACACGGCGGACCCGCGTTGTTGACTGCGCTGCACCACTTGGTGCGACGTGTATGGATTGAGTAGGAGGTGCCTCCTGAGCTGAAGGATGCCCTTGTGCTACCACTGTACAAGGGCAAAGGTAGCAAGCAATGTTGCACGAATTATCGTGGCATCAACTTGCTGAGTTGTGTGGGCAAGGTGATTGCCCGAATCCTGCTCAACCGCCTCGTCAGTCAGGTTGTGGAACCGAACGTGGCGGAAGAGCAGTGTGGATTCCGTTCGGGTCGCAGCACTATAGCTATGGTGTTTGCGGCTCATCAGTTGCAGGAGAAGTGCAGAGAACGACACCAGCCATTGTACTCGCTTTTTGTTGATTTCACCAAGGCATTTGATACGGTGAACCGCGAGGCACTGTGGCTGGTGTTGGGTAAGTTTGGTTGCCCGCGTAAGTTTGTAAGTTTGATTGAATGTCTGCACAGTGGTATGCGAGCGAGGGTGCAGCTGAGTGGAGAGACCTCGGATGACTTTGCAGTTGTCTCTGGTGTGAAGCAAGGCTGTGTCTTAGCTCCTGCCCTGTTTAATATATATCTTCATGCAATGTTATCTTGTGCTTTTGATGCGGCTTGTGCTTACGGTGTTCGTGTGGAGCACCGTATTGATGGTGGATTGTTGAACATCCGTCGTTTCGCTGCGAGAACGCTAGTCTATGAGACAGCTATCCGTATGTTGCTGTTTGCTGACGACTGTGCGTTGTTTTCACGCAGCGCGGATGAATTGCAGCACATGACTAGTGCTCTGGCTTCGACAGCGCAAAATTTGGGCTCACCATCAACACAAGCAAAACTGTCTGTCTCTTTCAGCCTTCACCGGAGGTGCAATCTTCAATATTGCCGCGAATCAGCATTGGTGCTGAAGTATTGGAAACCACCTCCCGCTTCAGCTACCTTTGGAGTGTGATGTCGACTGACCAGCAGCTACACGTTGAGTTGCGTAATCGCGTGTCGAAGGCAGCAGCGGCATTCGGGAAGCTTGAGTACCGAGTGTGGAACAACCATCAGCTTAGCATTGGCACAAAGCTGATGGTGTGCAAATCCATGGTACTGTCCGTTCTTCTATACGGCAGTGAAACGTGGACGATGTACCTTCGGGATGTGCGATATCTCGAGCGGTTCCATCAGCAGTGTCTGCGACAAATTTTGCGGATCGGTTGGGGCGCCAGAGTTGGAAACACGGAAGTGTTGCGCCGAAGTGGGATGTATGCAGTGGACTGCATACTTTTGCTGAGACACCTGAGATGGCTCGGTCATGTGAGCTGTATGGATTCGACTCGGATACCGAAACAACTCTTATACGGTCAGCTGAGTATTGGGAAGCGGCACGTGGGGAAACCAAAGTTACGTTACCAGAACATGATTAAAGTGAGCCTCACACGTTCTAATCTTGATTGCAGGTCATGGGAATCGAAAGCGGTTGATCGGCGCGTATGGCGCGATCTAATCACGAAGGCAGTTGCTGAAGTGCGGGAGAAAGCCCTCATGCATGCAGAGTAGAAGCGGCGAGTTCGTAAGCGGCAAGCACCTATGGATTGTAGTTCATCGACATCGAGTGCATGGGGCTGTAGCACGTGCAGTCACGAGTGCCTGAGTCATGCAGGCCTAGTAAGCCATGAGCGAGGCCACTCGGGACTACTACCGAAGCGCCGACGGGTTCTGCAGAGAACGTAGGCAGAACCGGCGCAGCGTTTGTAGGTACGCTGCATTCGATTTACTAACCGCGTGCTTGCATGCCAAGTCTATTTATTTCAGGTGGTGGGTTTTCAATTTTGCCGTAATGCTTTTCTTTCCAATATAAATGCCTAGTTCTACTCTCTTTTATACACTTGCACACGTTGCTTAAGCTAATCGTAGTTCATTTCGATAACATTTTCGTGTTTGTAGCATTTCCGTAAAATAAACCTCTTGACCTCGTGAACTTACCTCGTATTCTTTTGTAAACGTATTCTTTTGTAAACAACTTATTTCATATGCTCACTAATTTAAGATTTATGTCACCGTTTGCTTGCGTGCTAAGTCTGTTTATTTCAGCTGGTGGGTTTTCCATTTTGTCCCAATGCTTTGCTTTCTCGTATAAATGTCTACCCGTACTTTCTTCTTTAAAGTTGCACACGTCACTTAAGCCAATTCTAGTCCTTTCCGAAAACATTTTTGTGTTCGTGGCATTTCCGTAAAGTATACTTTCTGACCTCGTGAAGTTATCTAGGATTCGCCTGTAAACAACTTATTTCATATGCTCATTAACCTAAGGTTTATGTCACCGTTTCCTTATGCATTAATCGAGTTATTTTCTTTGTATCTCTCTCTCTCAAAGGATTGGCTGTTGTTTGATATCCCCGGTGTGACTGCGCTTGATGTGGATGTTTACAAGGTGCCTACCTGTCTATTACCCACTATCTCATCCATACTGGCTCCATGAGACAGTTGGTCGTTGCTGGAGGGGACGGGGTGCACGGTCCTTGTGGCCGTGTTAAGCTCGAAGTGTGGTTCCATGCACTCAGTATGGAGCGGACTACGGTCTAGCCACCGCCTTGTGTGCGGTTGATTCCCCAAATACAGCGTGCTTGTGTTTGCCTGTGAAGGAGTGTGGGCCGGTTCCGTTGATGTAACCTGTCTCCCATCCCCATGCCTCCCGGTCTTATTCCTTCGGGTTTACACTGGATATGGGGTGTGTTTGGAGCTGTGGGTGGTGCAGCGCAAGCCACCCGTGGTGCCTCTGTAGGCGCAGGCGTCCTGTGGCTTGCCACAGGCAAATCCGAAACCGGATGCCGCCAACCATATATATATATATATATATATATATATATATATATATATATATATATATATGAACAAATAGACATGAGCCATCAAAAACCATAAAGCTCTAAGGAAGATGCAGTTGTCATAAACAGAGGACATCACACGACACAGTGGAGTCCATGGTTTTGTCAGAGAGCACGTTCCTGCCCGTTTTCCCAAGCCAAGGACTTAATCACATGGTTATTGCTGTAGTTCCGCCGCTTTGTCTGTGAACTAGTTGTGCAAATTTCTCCGCTTCATGGAAAACGGTCGTCGCTTCTGTCTGCTATCCTCCACGTAGTATGCTTTACTTTTTCGTTGGGACTCTTGCCCTTGATTTTTCTCCGACATGGTATGGTCTCTTAGGCACCACTTTGGGTCCTAAAACCCGACAATCTATTGAGCAAACGTGTTGACCTTTCCCTCATTAATGAGCTTTTTTGCTCCTGTTATTCCATTATGCTCCATATCAGCTTAGTCTGCAGATTCAAACCAGGCAGCCTTTCTCTTCTGTGCGCATCCATTACAGAGTCTCATTTCATATAATGTTTGTGAATGTGACGAATCGCCATTCTTCCGGTCAAGTTGAACTTCGCAGCTCTTCTTTAGATCTGACTCTGTTTAAAGCATCAGAGGCTTAAGCCATGTGCATTGAGAGAAGTGGCGGATTTGTCATAAATGATCACCGCCGCGATACGTCACTCGCATCAGACTGCATTATCGTTTTGGCTATTACTCACATTAGTCGATGTCCTTCGTTCTGTTAAATCTTGTCCTCCGCTTGGTTCACCTTCTGTCGGTCGGTCTTTCTCTCAGTGTGTTTTGTGTACCATAATTGACCTGCTGGACTAGAGCCTGACAATGGCACCGCGAGGGAGCACAGACAGGCTTACGATGGTGCTTAATCGTTCCGATGCGTATTGTCCTCCCTGGTAGGTTATACGATTCAATTGCGTCGATGGTTAACAACTACTTTCCATAGCACAACGGAAGAGTTATCGGCACTCCTACGTTCAACTACCTGATGCTTGCCTATCATTTGGTCAGATTCATCGGTTTCCCTTCTGGTGATTTACTCTTTACTCTTTTGCTCTTTTCAATTTCGCTTGACCGCTTGTCTTCGCCTTAGTACGGTGTTCTTATCTGATTATGTTTTCGTTTTCTGGATTGTGTTGGTGTGCCCAATCCGTTTGGCTATTGCAATAGTAATAAGCAGTCGGTTTCCCACCAAAAGTTTGGCATCTGCGGACTTTGGTCCGAAACCGAAATTGTACTTGTCGGCATTTTAATCCAACTTTTATGTTTTGTAGTACGAATGGTCGTATTTATATGGAAGTACTTTGTCCATAGTATTCTATCCAAATTCCATTGTCAGGTAAATGGTATTTAAATCCTTGTTTGTACGAACTTTGTAGCTGTTCACCCATTGTACACGCAGCTGAGCGAGGTAGACCTTTTCCACCATTCTTACTACCGCTGACTCCAAATAATCGATATGAAAATCATTGAGCAGTTTGTCGGGCGCTTTGTTCGCTCAATTTACTCATTTTTTAAAACATTTTGTCACGTACTTGGAAGCCTGAAGCTCCCCCAATAGTTCTTACAAAGCCCTCTTTTCGTTTTCATAACCCATTGCTACTCACTGTCGTTCAGTCCGGCTCCGTTGTTTATGTACATCTGCGTCTCAATCTCATCTGTCCGTAGCTTTAGTAATGGGATCCTTGTGGAGTGCTTCTTCAACCTGGTCAGACATTTTATTTGCCAAATGAAACGGTCAGTGTCTTTGGTTATAGGGCTGCAACGTATGTGGACCGGTGCTTTGTGGTGGTGGTCGGAATTCATGTTGAACAAATGAATATGATACACCAGTAGCCTTTTTCTTTGCAACCATGACATTTTCTTCTAACATAAGCTACATGCTGCATCGGCCGTCTCGCAGCTTATCAAGCGTCGCCTCATTTGCTGCATACAGCAGGGTAGATAAGCGAAAATATGCTACTGCTGGCGCCTCCCTTCTTTCTTTTCCACCTTTTCTCTTACTCCCATCCCGACCCTCATTACTAACCTTCCTTCTATAATTCCCAGCTTAATTGACAGCAACCGAAGTGCCACTGGAGTAGCAGCATCTGCAGCCACCATCTCACCGCACCTATCGGACGCCTATCGGCAACAGCCCTTTATAAGTTCACGCTATCCCGTTTCCATGGCGACATTCAACGTTCGCAATTTAAGACAAACAGGTCAGCAGGCTGCACTCGCACGCATCTTGGACACACGGGGTATTGATGTGTCGTGTGTCCGAAACTAGAATCAATGACCCTAACGGGGTTATTGAATTAACTGCACCCGGCTTATCCTCTCGTTATTGTTGCACACATCCGGAGACGCCGATGCAGCACTCACAGGTCAAACTGGTGTAGGTATCATTCTAAGCTTCAAGGCGGAGCCATTGTTGGTTGATTGTATCTCGGTGAACAGCCGTTTATGTGCAGCCCGTTTGACGACATCAGATAAGGTGAATTCGCGAAGTAGTACAAAACACTGTTTGTTTGTGATTTCCGTTTATGCTCCCACCGACTGCAGTTCTAATGCAGGCAAGGACACTTTCTATCACGAACTGGACGGGTTACTACGCAGTGCCACTAGTTCAGACATTATAGTACTTGCAGGGGATGTGAACGCACAAGTAGGGCGTCTGAGCTCTTCAGAAGCTCAGTTGGGTGGAAAGTATGGACTTAACTCTGAACGGACTAACAACGGTGAGCGCCTGCTGCAACTGTGTGCGGAGCACCAGTTGTTTCTTAGTAGCACTGCTTTTAGACACAGGGGGTGCCGAAGTGCCATTTGGCGTCCTCCTGTAGCTGGCCAGCGATGAACCCAAATTGACCACATAGTCATAAGTTACATGTGGTGTGGTTCCATCCTGGATTTCCGCTCGTACTGGAGTACCTGTGTCGACTCTGATCATGCCCTGGTACGCTGTCGTTTCTCTATGAACTTTACGGGGAAGCGCACCAAGCGTCTCCTCCAACTGGCAACTGAGAAATTGTCTCAGCCCTCGGTCAGGCAAGTCTATCAAGACGCACTGCACACCGAACTTTCGCTGTCTTGTCCTAATGACACTGAGCTTCAGTGGAATAGGATCTCGGCCGCCATGCACGACGCAGGAGCATCTGCTTGTGGCACTATCCATCGTCACTGCATTAGTCACTGGATGTCGGTGAGGTCGGTGAATCTGTGGGATCTAGAAGACTTTTCCCGGCTGGCTCTGAACACAATGTGACCAGGCGGGCTATTAGGCGTGATTTGCCAGTTTAAATTGTGTTTGGTGCTGAGTTATCTGCGGGGTAATGGCTGATTTTGACGCGTGGCAGTGAAAGCCGCAAGGAAGCTGTCTCGCCGATACAGCTTTATCTTTGCACGATAGCCAGCTGTTTATGACGGTATGTT